CTTAATTGACATTTCCTAATAATTTTTGTCTTTAGTATTTCACCTTTTGATCATCCTTAGTTCAAGTTCTCATCTCTACGGACTTTCATAGCAATAATCTCCCCAGGTTCTCCCCCAATATTCTCTTTCAGTAAATATTACCTTTTCTTCCCTTAAAAGTCTAGTGATATCTAGAATCAGACCTGTTCCTTTGTCAGTCTTGTGGTATTAAAACTTTACTAGTATCCAGTTCTCTTCTATGAATTTGCTTATGCGTTTTAAATTCCCAGAGATACATCTCCATCAGTAACCATTTGCTTTTTCTCAAAACTAGCCTTAACCACTATCCCCCACCCACTGACAGCAGCTGAACATACCCTGCTCCATGCTAAGCAACAGTTGCAGCTATCTCCACATGCCAGTACAGGTGCCAGCAGCCATTGCAGCTACAAGCCCTTCACAAAGTAGAGAGTTTCCCAAACTATACACAGCAGCAGAGAGCAATTCAGATTCTCAACGCCTGGTCTTGCATCCAAACAGAGAAAAGGATCCTCATGAGAGATTTCTCAGTTAGGATTTTTCTTAACTAAGATACACTGGCAGAGATCAAATGAGAAACACACTGACATCCAGTGGCTGGAGAACAGCCAAAGAAAATGCTCTCCATATCATGGGTTCTTCAGCACCCAACTCCACCTAGCAATACAAGTTGGCCCAGCAAAGTACCTTTTACCACTATAGGTTGCACTATCGGGAGAAATCCAGCTGAAGTTCCAGCAGAGCACAATAAAATAATAGCAAAAGACCCCAAAAAGCTAACTACTCATTAGAACAATAGAACACACTAAATCGACACTTAAACTGGGTGATTGCTTTCAAATTTAGATTATTTAAATGTGAAGCATGCAACTAAAAACCACACACTATACCAACAACCAAGGAAATCACAGCAAAAAATGAGAAAAGGTAAACACTGATGTCAATATTGAGATGAGCCACATGCTGAAACTATCAAAGATTTTAAAACAGCTATGAAAATTTGTTTCAATGAAAAAATTAAATGAAATTCTGGTCAGGAAGACGGTACAGTAGGAAGTCCTGGCTCCTCCATACCCCAATGAACACACCAATTCAGCAATAATTCACAGACAAATTCCCTTTGTGAGAAACCAGGAACTAACTGAAAACCTCCTGCACGCCCTGAAAGAATGCAAAATCCGACCTACCAAAGCCAGTAGGGAGGTCTGGAATAGGCTTCACCAGAGATTCTGCCCCAGAGCACTGACAATATAATCAAAAAGAATCCCTCTAGTTCTCACCTTGACTCAGGGGAGGAAAGTGGTTGCTCACAAGTCCAGTGAGCACAGTCAAGCCCCTGAGGCAGCAATGCAGGTGGTGCTTACTATACACCATTGATTCATCCCCACCCCAACTCTGCACAGAGTGAGTGGATAAAAAATCCCAGCTCTCTGCTTCCTCCTGGGGTAGGAAAGAGTTGATCCAAGCAGGCAGTTCCTCCACTTCCCCCAAATTGCTCAAAGAATTAGTGTCTTTCTCACCAGTCCTGGAGCACTGAAGGGTCTGGCACGATCTAATTATCAGGGAAAGAATAGAGGCAGCAGCTTGGGATGGTAAATGCCACTGATTCTTTCTCCTGACCAGCACAAGAGAAAGCAGGAAAAGAATAGATGCCTGCTTTTCCCTGGAGAGGGAAAAGTGTTAGTAGAGGCCCCCAAAATCACTTTCCAGGATGTTTTGTGAAATCGTCTTCTGTATACTCCTACAAGGTGAAGACTGGGAGAGTCTTCTAATATGCAGACACCAAAAAAAAAAAAAAAATTAATAAAGTAATCAGGAAAAGATGTCCAAAAAAAGAAATAGGATAAATCTCCAAAACTGACCCTAATGAAATGACGTTAAATGGTTTACCTGACAGAGAATTAAAATGAACTCTCTTGAACATGCTCACTGAGGCCAAGACAACAATGCAAACATTACTAATCAGTGAGAGACCTTATGAAAAGGATGAGCAGACACATTACAACACGGGAGGAAATATTTGCATACACACATCTGGCAGAATACATATTTGCGTAATACATATCTGTATTTAGAATACATAAATTGCTCAAAAATTAACAATACAAAAACCAACCAGTCAAACTAGAAAATGGGTAAAAGACATTTAATAGATATTTCACAAAAATGGCACAAAGAAGCACATGAAATTATGTTCAACATCATTAGTCATTGGAAAATGCAAATCAGAATCACAGGAGACACCACTACACATCTATCACACGGGTAATTCTTTTTTAAATCTTGAGTAGCAATCAAACAGACTTAAGAACGCAGATACTTAGACATTGCCGGTGGAAATGTAAGATAGTACATCACTCTGACAAATATTTGGTAATTTCTTGTAAAATATAAACATACACTTACAATTTGGCCTGCCAGTCGTTTACCTGGGTATGTATTCCAGAGAAATAAAATTTTACTTTTCATTTAATCTATCAGATTTATTGGTGTAAAGCTTTTATAATACTCCCAAATATTTATTTTTCTCTGTGACTAGTAATATCTCCTTTCATCCCTAATATTCATGGAATTAGTTTTCATTCTGAAGAAGTCTTACTAAGGTTGTTAATTTTTAGTCCCTTTAAAAAGGAAATAATTTCCGGGCTTTGATTTTTCCCATTCTTTTCCTTTTTCTATCTCATTGATTTCTGCCCTTATGTGCATTATTGTCTTCCTCTACAATGTTGTAACCCTTTATAGAGTATTGCATTTTGTATAGGAAGGCAATTAATTTAATGGTAACCCTCCTTACTCATCTCATTGCTGGGCTTCAGGCCATGGGGTGATAAAAATATCTCTTACTCTAGATCTTTTCTCCTAAGGATTAGCCTTTCTGGTCTCAGCTGAATGCCTGGTCACACTATGCTGCCTGGACTGAGAAATCCATTATCTCTCAACACTGTTTGACCTAGAGCAATGATTTTCAAACAGTATGATGCAAGAATTTTTTAAACATGTAATACCTGACAATTTAGTCAGGGGCACTGACCTCTTTTCCCTTAGGTTGTCAAATAAAAAAATGACAACAGCCAACACAACAGTAGCCATCTGGTGTGAATTATACCTACTTTTGAAGAGATTCCAAGATGGTGGTGGAAGCTACACTGACACTCCCAGAACCAAACTTGAATTNGTTAAGTGGAAGCTACACTGACACTCCCAGAACCAAACTTGAATTACAACTAAAATATAGAAAACCCATCCTGAATAATCAACTGAAGACTAGCTGGAGAGAACCCTTATAACCAAGAATGCAAAGTACAGATTGGTAGGAAGTGTGGAAGAGCGAGAGGGCTGGCCAGGCTCCCACAAGCAGCAGCTGAAGTTCCAGACACATACCTCAGCTATGGGGGTCCCACTGAGAACTCTGGGGTCTAAACCCCAAGCTGGGCTTGTCGAACACTGGCTTCTTCCTAATCGTAGTTTCTGGCAAAATGAGAACCTTACCGACTAAAAGCTAACTTTCTCACATGCTTTTAAAAATTTCTTGACTCCTACCTGCATTTTGGGATACAGTTGAAATTCCTACATTTCCCATGTGAACATATTCATTTTCTGTACACAGTATACTTTTGTGTCCTGACTTTCCCAGTAGTTCACCTATAATTTCCAAGGTTACCCCCACCACTGAGGTCCTAGGATATATCAATTTAAACTACTTAATGTGTTTAGGGTTTTTTTAGTTCTTTCACTTATTTTGTTTGTTTGTTTCCTTTCAAACTCCTATCGATACTTCCCGATAGTTTAAATGTCCTTCTTGGACAAGTGGTTCCTGAATTTTAAATCTAAAAAGTAGTTGTTCTTGCCCAGACNCTAGTTCTTTCACTTATTTTTTTTGTTCGTTTCCTTTCAAACTCCTATCGATACTTCCAGGTAGTTTAAATGTCCTTCTTGGACAAGTGGTTCCTGAATTTTAAATCTAAAAAGTAGTTGTTCTTGCCCAGACTGCGTGGCTCAGTGGTTGAGCATCTAACTATGATCCAGGAGATCTTGGTTCCATTCTCAGTCAGGGCACATGCCTGGGTTGCAGCCTCAATCCCAGTAGGGGGCGTCCAGGAGGCAGCCGATCAGTGACTCTCTCCCATCATCAATGTTTCTAACTCTCCCTCTCCCACTCCCTTTCTCTCTTTGAANGATGTTTCTAACTCTCCCTCTCCCTCTCCCTTTCTCTTTGAAATCAATAGATATATTTAAAAAAGTTGTTCTATTCAATAAGACTTCATTGTTAATTGCCACATTATATTTGGNAATGTTTCTAACTCTCCCTCTCCCACTCCCTTTCTCTCTTTGAAATCAATAGATATATTTAAGAAAAAAAATTTTTTTTAAAGTAGTTGTTCTATTCAATAAGACTTCATTGTTAATTGCCACATTATATTTGGACTTGTGACCTGTTTCCCTAATAATTCTGTGGAGTATAAAACATTATTTTTCACCCTAGCTGAAAGCTCAGTGGTTAGAGCTTTGGCCCATGGACTGAAGGGTCTCGGGTCCGATTCCAGTCAAGGGCACATAACATGGTTGCAGGCTTGATCCCTACCCCTGCTGGGTTGCGTGCGGGAGTCAACCAATAGATGTGTCCCTCTCACATAGGTGTTTCTGTCTCTCTTTCACCCTTCCCCTTTCTCTGAAAAAGCAATGGGAAAATATTCTTGGGTGAGGATTAAAAAAAACACGTAATTTTTCTTTCCAACAAAGGCACTTTAACCACATACAAAATATAATCTACACGGAGTAAAAGCAAAACTTACCTTTCTAAATGAAGAATCTGGATACAATGTTCCTGATTTGTTGTATGCATATACCAGGAAATGAGGGTCTAAAAATGACCTAATTCAACCAAGATAATGATACTTCATTGNCACGTAATTTTTCTTTCCAACAATGGCACTTTAACCACATACAAAATATAATCTACACGGAATAAAAGCAAAACTTACCTTTCTAAATGAAGAATCTGGATACAATGTTGATATGTTGTATGCATATACCAGGAAATGAGGGTCTAAAAATGACCTAATTCAANACACGTAATTTTTCTTTCCAACAAAGGCACTTTAACCACATACAAAATATAATCTACACGGAGTAAAAGCAAAACTTACCTTTCTAAATGAAGAATCTGGATACAATGTTCCTGATTTGTTGTATGCATATACCAGGAAATGAGGGTCTAAAAATGACCTAATTCAACCAAGATAATGATACTTCATTGTAATAATTTCATTAACAAAAGTAACTTTCAGAATCATTAAATTAAACAAAATTTNACCAAGATAATGATACTTCATTGTAATAATTTCATTAACAAAAGTAACTTTCAGAATCATTAAATTAAACAAAATTTATTTTCAATTATACAAGCTCAAATATCCAAAAAATTAAATGGACTCATCTCTCCATTATCTACTTTGCTTTCTGATAGCATAATGTGTATACAGGAGACAACAGTAATCACTATAACCAGATACCAGTATGAATGCTGTAATGACACAGCTTTATCTGTAGTAAAAACAAGAATTTCCAGGTTCCCACAACAAAGTTTTATTTTAGATTTAACCATCAATAAATCTAATAGTTTAAACATGCTAGTTAAAATTTTCTAACAAGTAGCCCTCAACTGATGAAGACCAAAAAATGTATGTTTTTATCATTAGTTTTCATGAAGTTATGCTGTGGTAAAAAGGAATGCCAATATTCTTATTGCCTTAAAACAGCAATGGATGTTCTTTGCCAGTTGACTGCAGGTTCAGCTCCACACTACCTTCGTTCTGGAACCCAGGAAAAGACATGACCCCTCCTAGGAACTCGCCTTTCTTGTGGCAGAAAGAGAAAAAAATTGTAGAAGTGCTCAACAGTTCGCGAAGCCTTTGTTTAGAAGTGGGATACTAGTGTTCTGCTCACATTTCCTAAGCTAACCTAAAGGATCCCTGTAGACCAACCAATATAAACAGAAGTTTAATCTTCTTACCAGGAAAAAAGTGATGATCATGGAACAATCTAACAGCAGTATTTATTGTAGGGAGACTGGAATTTCTCAAGGATTCCAAACACCAAAAGGCATTTCAAGGCCAGAATCCAAAGAGACTAAAGCAGTCACATCATACTTTCTGTCACCAGGA